GTTAAAACTAAATGAGAAACTTGTCATCAATGGACATTGCGAAACTCTTAACTCCAGCCAAAAAGATCAGCTTTATGCCTAAGGAAACCTCGTGGTAGGAAAACCCGCCGAGAAAACAAATGGTTTGACCAGGACTGCATCTAAGTTAGAATCGAACTTAGGAAGACTTGCGGAATTATTTGAACTTCTCCACTGGACGAGTTACCTAGAAACTATAATATCTGAAAATCAAAAGGGAGGATCACAATCTTGAAAACTGCTATCATATCGGACTTTTTTTGAACGGAAATCTAATTGGTCGATGGAGGTCCTAACGGTAATTTTAATGTTAGCTCGGATAAGTTTCGTCCCAAATCAAAGTCCTCCAATCAATTAAGTCGTTGAATGAATTTTCTCGAAAGTATTCCATTATATTAGTATTACTAGTAGAAAAGCTGTTACGGGGATTTTTTCTACTCGAAACCCCCTGAATCACCAACCCACTTAAAAGACGTTATTGTTGTCCACGGGATTGATTCGTGATGTTTTTAAAATGTTTTAAATGGACTGTTATTGTTGGCCCGGTTTTACTTTTTACTTCGGATGGCCAGGCCTTACTTCTTGCTGTTATTGTGATGTTAATCTGAAAAAACTAGGCAACTGGGGAATTGATCCAGAACCTCGAGATTTGCGTCTCTTGCTTACAATTGAGCTACTGACCTGATCTCGATCGAAATCACCACTCATATACAGCACAATTTCTGCTTAGTGTGGGTAGAGTGCCAAACCGATATTATCGGGCGATAATTAGCGGCGATAATTTCCCAAAATTCGTTTTCGATTATCGCGCTAATTTTCGAGAATTATCAGGATAATCGACACATTTTTATTAGGGTAAATGGCCAACATTTAACAGATTTTTCGAATTATTTTTTGTTTGTAAAGTTAAAACCAGTGAGCCAGTGCTAGCATAATTTGCGTGGTGGTGGTTTTTTCCGATCTAGTAGGTTAACTTGGATGTTGTATGGACAGACGAATTATGGTTGTTGTTGAAGCACGGAAAGGAACTCAACTTGCAACGAGGACTACAAAACCGTTGGTGTCGCTGTGTAGTTGTTGGAGGATATGGGACGGATAACTGATGCATGATGCACGGGGGGGGGGGAAATTTTAGATGACTTGGAGTAGGCAATTAAAACTGAATGTAGAAGTGACTGAGTTAGCTCTCGCACCGTTCAAGACGTAACTGAGTTTTCGTGTAAAAGAGACGCATGGCTCGCTCAAGCAGAAGTGATTATTTAGTTGATTGACAGCAAGTAGAGAGATCTGAGATAGATCGCCACTTTCTTCGAACCTTTCGTTAGGTACGTTACACGATTGCCAAAAGAAAGATCCTTCACTTCGTATCGCTGGTAAAGTTTACTCGGACCCGGTATTCTAGATGAAGATGTAGGACAAGAAACCATAATGATCTCAACGTCAAGTTAACCATGATACGTAACTCTAAGTCTTTGCACAGTGGTTGGTTAAGCAGAAGAAACTATCAGCGATTGAGCTAGCAAGTGTCGACGATGGTCCTCAGGATCTCAGGCGACTCCCACAATTTCAGATGCCATATTCCATCTTCCCGCTGACAAAAAGAAATTACGAAAAGGTTCATAAGGGCAGCGATTCGACTACGGTAGGCAAGGACAGATAACCTTGCTGGGAGCTAGGTCTGTTCACGCAACAGGCAGCAGACTTTTAATAATTTGTTTGCTTGAAGCATAATCTTTTCTTTAAAAACATATTATTTTGTCTATGAAATATGGGCTTGTTTAAATAAAAGGGCAATATTTGCAATTTAATCTTTAAACAAAGCAATCCGCACAGATGTAACATAGCTAGAGCCACATTTTGATTATTCACTACCTATGTAAGTTATTATGTTTCAATGTGGAAATAAAGGTGCTCTACTATCTAAATTATAATCGGAGTACGCGAGTACCGGGGGCTCCAAGATAGCACCATGTCTTCGCAAATTGATATATTCAATTGTGCTAGTGCTACAAGTTATAAAGTCTTTTCTTGCTTACTGTATTAAAATCAATTGAAAAATTATCGTTAATGTTGAATTAGAGTTGGTAAAAAATTGAACATTTCGGATTTTATTGGCTTGAATGCCTTCGAGGTTTTATTGTAATGTCCGTTCAAAATTATGTCCACTCACGCAATGTCCGGTCAAATATGGTTTACGGTATTTAAACAAAAAGTTCTATTAAAAAAAGAAAAAGACAATTGAATCACATCGGAAAGGCTGAAGAAGCTTCAAGATAGATCCTGCTCATGTATTTTAGTTAGAGGATACTTTGATTAAAAACGTTATTATTTCCAAATATAATTTAAAAATTAGGAATAACTTGTTAGCCTAATTTTTCCCTCAATTAGCGAAAAATTGTCCTTTCTTGCGGATTCTGAAAAAAATTCGTATTGATGAATCGTTAGTGGGGGGGGGGGGGGGGTGTGTTTTTGGGGGGTTTTGAAAAACCTTTCCCTTTTTTTTGGCCATTCTGTGAGGCATATACCCGTAACTCAAAATTCTCTCCCAAAACTTAAGGTCGAAATGCGATTCTACGTTGATTCTGAAAATTTCATGTAAAAATATTGAAACCCTATTGAGTTCTATTGTTTTGTCAGTTTTGCAAATATCGCAAACTGAGATATGGGCAATTTTGTTCATTTTTTTGCGATTATTTGAACACAGAATCCACAGTTAGGTAGATACTGAGCTGATAATCATAGATAATGTGTAGTATAGGCTTACCTTTCATATAAAGTTGGTTTCATTCAAAAATAGTGATATTTGACTAATTTATGGGCCAAAATCGATCAAATTTGGTGCGTATGCCCAAATATGGTCATATGGTTTTTGATCATAACTCAGTCATTTTTTGTTCAATCTTGATGAAAATTCATATACGAGTTCAGAGGACCACTAGCTACAAGTAAAGCACCTAAAATTAGGTTTTTGGGCATGTTCAGGGTATTTGGCTAAATTGGGCCTAATTTGGATCAAATATGGGTGTGGCTGCCCCGCAGGCACCGTTTGGCGGTTGGAGTCCTGGACCCCCTCAAAAGTTCGGTGTCTGGTCCTAGTTTAGTTGGTCAACTGCTATCTCGAAACAAGTTTCACAAAAAAATCAGGGTGAACCCCCCCCCCCCCCCCCCCCCCCCCCCCCCCCCCCCCCCCCCCCCCCCCCCCCCCCCCCCTTAATAATATAATTTAATGTACTTTGATATACTTTAATATACCTACATTATCTCCATTAAAATTTTGACCCATATTAAAGTATATTAAAATGTAGGTTTTTTTCGATTTTGACCCGGGGATATACTTTAATATACTTTGATATGGTTGCCCCTCCCCCCCCCCCCCCCCCCCCCCCCCCCCGACACACACACACACACACACACACACACACACACACACACACACACACACACACACACACACACACACACACACACACACACACACACACACACACACACACACACACACACACACACACACAGCGTTAAACTAATAACGCTGGTTAGGTTTAAAGGGTGCAACCACCACGAAAATGTAATGGATTTCACGATATTAACATTACATTTCATGGTAATCATCTACTCTCTCCTCAGATAGCAGAACAAGTGTTAAAAGACTGGAATAAAAGACTGGACTAAAAGAGCACTTTTGTGTTCTCTATTTATCGGCTGTTTCTCAGAAACATTAACAAGCTGTGCTATCATATCAGTCACATCAAATCGAGGTAATATTTCGGGGCTAGATTACTGAATCATGTAGATATGTTGCATTCCACAATATATGATGTTAGTTTGTTGTGTTAAGTAACTATAGACGGCTAGTATTCTGAAGAAGAAGCTAACTGAATATTAATCTACCCCCTGTATTTCAGAGAGAAGTCAAACATGTGATACCGGACCAAGTTTATCCAAGCTGCTACCCTTATATTCTCAACAAAAGACGTACTAAATTGGACTACAATAATGAAACAGAACGATAAACATTTAATGGAATTTGTGAACTTTTCTAAGCAGCCAGTTTTAAAGATTTAAGTTTCATGAATTTACGTTTAATTTGGGTCTGACAGTATATGGTCCTTCCAAAGATGAAGTGGCCACTTGCCATTTATGATATCCCGATCAGCACTGTTTCTCGCTGGGAGCAAACAACTAACAGTCATCTCAGAAAATGGCTAGGAGTGGGACACACGCTTAGTAGCTCTTGCCTGTTTAGTCATTCATCCAGTGTTGCTCTCCCCATCGACAGCCTAACCGACACTTGGAAAGTAGAAAAGTGCCGTCTCTTGCAGTCATATCAAACATCTCAGGATGCTTTGATCAGAGCGGTGCAACCCCAGGTGCGGTCTGGGAGAGTTTGGAAGGCAGATGCTCAGCTTCACGAAGCTGAAAGAGACTTGGTGTGTGAGTCAGTGCGAGGTATGGTGCAACCTCTTAGTAGAGCGGGAATTGGTTTCGGTGATTGGAAGAAGCCCTGGGAGAAGATGTCAGAAAAGGAGCAGCAGAGGGAGGTGTTGGATAGGGTTAAGGAGAACATCAGGAATGAAAGAGAGGTGCAGTTGGGTACGTTGGAGATGCAGTCCAGGTGGGGTAATTGGAGAGAGCTGGTGACAAGGACTGACATGAGCTGGCACACGCTCTTCAAGTATGGGGACTCATTAATCGGTTTTCTGCTTAGTGCTGTGTATGGCACGCTTGTTACACCAGCTTTAGCATCCAAGTGGAGCGAGGATGAGGATGGGATGTGCAAGCTGTGTGGTGACAAGTTGGGAACTGTGCCGCATATTCTGGCTGGTTGTCCTGTGGCACTAAGTCAAGGGAGATACCGATGGCGCCACGATAAGGTGCTTAAACAAATAGCAGACCAAGTGAAATTCCATTGTGAGCGGAGAGTCAACAAGAGGAAGAGCTCTTGTGTCACTCGGAAAGCCATTGAGTTTGTTCCAGCAGGAGGGAGGTTTAAGGAGGTGAAGAGGTCGTAAGTCAGTGAGTTTGGGATTCTGAGTGGGGCCACTGATTGGATAGTATTAGCAGACCTGGATGAGCAGCTGAAATTCCCGTCGGATATAGCAACGACCAGATTAAGACCAGATTTGGTTCTTTTCTCGAAAGCTTCCAAGAGAGTAATCTGGTGGGAGCTTACAGTACCGTCGGAAGAGAGAATAGCTGCATCCCATGAGCTGAAGCTTGATCGGTATAACAGTCTACAAGCGGAAATACAAGCTAATGGGTGGTCATGTTTCAGCTTTGCTGTTGAGGTTGGTGCTAGAGGTGTGGTCGCAGCAAGTTTGGAGTGTGCATCAAGGAAGATTGGTCTGACTGGGAGAGCCCTCAAGAAGTTGGTCAGAGATTGTGGGAAGGATGCAGCCCATTGTTCAAGATGGATTTATCTGCTGTCTAGGAAAAGAGAGTGGGAGATGAGAGCTGTTTGAGCTTTATGACTTCACCTAACAGCCAGAGGTGCCATAAGCTAACTCGTCGTAAATCGCGAGCTCTAGCAGGTATCCTCGGGTGATTGTCAGATCAGATGGTGGTCCAAGAGAGACTGCTGGGGCACCTGACAGAAAACCGTATCGCAATGAAAGCCCCGAAACGGTGTCAGGTTTGTGACTGAAGATTCTGATCAAGCTCAGGGTTGAGTCTACACAGTGTCGCCACTTGCCGATGCCAGTTGATGCGAGAAGACACTGATGTAAGTGGGAAGTTATGTCTAAGAAACAGCGTGTGGTTCGGGTGCCGGTTGAACGCACGTAAAAGGGAGGGTATATCCGTATTTCGCTGCTAGTGATGCAGTCCTTAGCCCGGTAGCTAAGGCTTCCCCGTTTCTCGCTCATTTGTGCTCCGATGGGCTTGTGACCTCTGCGGGGGTCAAGTGCAGGATGAGGGACATGGCTGACCAGGAGAAGGTTGTTTTTGGGAGATAGAGTAAGGTTGGTTTGGTGTTGTGCCTTCGCAGTTTAACTGTATCTTTACTCTAAGCAGATATTCAAAATTTTGTTTTCTCCTATTATTATTTTGCTTTCAAATAGCCGTATTAATTTGTATACACCCACACATAATCACATCTTGAAGATGCCCTACTGATATTCTGTCTCAGACCGCGACCGAAAGAGAAAGTCATAACCCCAGAAAGTGAATTTATTTAATAACTGATTTACCAAAATTACAGTTTGCCGGCCTAAAAGCAAGGTAAAATCAGTAAAGATAAATCAGGATACATTTGTCCGGATTTATCATTTAAAATGGAAGATATCAAACTAGTCTTACCTCCCATTCCACCGGGCATTCCTGAAAAATATGAAACATTTAGAACTCCAAAATATGAATTCAAAAACATCCTGTTAACTCGTTAAACATTTGAGTGCCAAATCTATTTAGACATCGGTTTCCGAAATAGAAGAACCTGATAAATTAACGAATGGTTGCACGTAACACTTAAGGCTGGGGGTTCACCCTGAATTTTTTGTGAAACTTGGTTTCGAGATAGCAGTTGACCAACAAACTAGGACCGGTGACCGAGCTTTTGAGGGGGTCCCGGACCCCAACCGCCAAACGGTGCCCGCGGGGCAGCCACGCCCATATTTGGTCCAAATTAGGCCCAATTTAGCCAAATACCCTGAACATGCCCAAAACCCAGATTTTAGGTGCTCTACTTGTAGCTAGTGGTCCCCTGAACTCGTATATGAATTTTCATCAAGATTGGACAAAAAATGACTGAGTTATGAGCCAAAAACCATATGACCATATTTGGGCATACGCACCAAATTTGATCGAGTTTGGCCCATAAATTGGTCAAATATCAATATTTTTGAATGAAACCAACTTTATATGGAAGATAAGCCTATACTACAGATTCTCTATGATTATCAGCGGCCAATATTGGCGGCCAAATTCTGAAAAATGCCCGGCAAATTTCAGAATTTGGCCGCCAAATTTTTTTAAAGGCCTAACTCAAAATTCTAATACAAAACTTAAGGTCATGAGGCGATTCTACGTTGATTCTGAAAATTTCATGAAAAAATATGGAAACCCTATTGAGTTCTATTGTTTTGAGCGAAGTCAGTTTTGCAAATATCGCGAACTGAGATATGGGCGATTTTGTTCATTTTTTGCAACTATTTGAACACAGGCTGCCCCGCAGGCACCGTTTGGCGGTTGGGGTCCGGGACCCCCTCAAAAGTTCGGTCACCGGTCCTAGTTTGTTGGTCAACTGCTATCTCGAAACTAAGTTTCACAAAAAAATCAGGGTGAACCCCCCCCCCCCCCCTTAAGATATTAACTCACCTCCCATTCCCGAGAATTTTCCCTGAAGTTTTGATATAACTTTCATCACTTTGGGATTGCTCATGTACTTCATCATGTTTCCAGGATTTGACTGGATGTCTGCCATTGCTTGAACTACCTCAGGGTCCTAATGTGGGTGTAAGGTTTGTTATTTTACTTTGAACAGGATAATATGGGAAATATTAGGTTAATTGTTTTTTTAAACTAGATTATATAAATAACATGGTAAATAATTCGAAATCTAATGATTGGGAACGATTTCAACTGCATATGTATTAGTCGGACTTTGCTAAAAAGTGGGGATAAGTAAGTCTCACTTGAAGGAGAGTAGCTATTTCAGGATCATCGAACAGTCCTCCCATTCCACCTGGACCTCCCATTCCACCCATTCCACCCATTCCACCAGGACCAGCTTCTGCCTGAAAATAACTTAGTGAGCAATTATACTGCGTTAAGTGGATGGTGACTTTAGGACAGTTCAGATAACTGAGGGAGCTCCTACGGGCTAGATATTTTCCTACATATCATTTAAAGTGAGCTTCATTATTGATCAATGCCACTTAACGCTTATACACTAATAAGGGTCACTGACGAAGAAGACAAAAAGAGAGAATCCATCGAACTTTCTAGATTTTAAAATGCCGCCATCAAAACGAAAACTCGTGTGGCGCGCCGAAAGCGTGGGTTGTTACCAACAGTTCGACAGAGCGCGCTACAAAATAAACATACATAAAAGCACTACAGGGGTAAAGATTTTAAGGTCTGGATTTAGCTGGATTTCGGTCATTTTGGGATGGGCGTGGCCCCTGGGAGTGGCCCGAGTTGGTTGAGAGGTCGAAACTTGATTTTTATGATGGTTTGGGACAGGCAGAACCCATTTTTAAATTAAAACATGTCCCACCTACCCCGGAACATAAAAGCACTACAGGGGTAAAGATTTTAAAGTCTGGATTTAGCTGGATTTCGGTCATTTTGGGATGGGCGTGGCCCCTGGGAGTGGCCCGAGTGGGTTGAGAGGTCGAAACTTGATTTTTATGATGGTTTGGGACAGGCAGAACCCATTTTTAAACTAAAACATGTCCCACCTACCCCGGAACATAAAAGCACTACAGGGGTGAAAAGCACTACAAATCCACTACAAAAATCAAGGAAACGTGCTCTCCTACAAAATGTAATAAATAACAGTAGATGAATCCATAAATTTGGAACATGGGTACATCGCAGTATTGGCCGTATTTTAGTGCTCGGAAGGCTCAGTTCGGTTTTCTAAGATGGATATAGCCGTAAGCTATGCCTAGGAGCCATCAAAAGTCGCATAAAATTACCCATGGAATGACCAGAAATGAACGAAAATGAACATTCTTCTCAAAGTGCTCCGAATGGTTTAAAATGGGTCGGAAAGTGTTAACATTGGTCCTAGGACCACTCAAACCTAGTTTGGGAATCACTGCATGTCTAGAACCGATGTTACCTATGTTCCAAAATGTTCCAATTTTGGGACAATAATCCTCCTGAGAATCCAGATTTTTGGAACATGGGCACATCGAAGTATTGGCTGTATTTAAGTGCTGGGAAGCCTCAATTCGGTTTTCTAAGATGGATATAGGTAAAAACTAGGCCTAAGAGCCATCAAAACTCAAATAACATTACCCAGGTTCATGTAATGAACGAAAATGAACAAAATTGAACATTGTCCTAAAAATGCTCAGAACGGTTTAAAATTGGTCGGAAAGTGTTTATATTGGTCCTGCGACCACTCAAACCAAGTTTGGGAATCACTGCATGTCTAGAACCGATGTTACCTATGTTCCAAAATGTTCCAATTTTGGGACAATAATCCTCCTGAGAATCCAGATTTTTGGAACATGGGCACATCGAAGTATTGGCTGTATTTAAGTGCTGGGAAGCCTCAATTCGGTTTTCTAAGATGGATATAGGTAAAAACTAGGCCTAAGAGCCATCAAAACTCAAATAACATTACCCAGGTTCATGTAATGAACGAAAATGAACAAAAATGAATATTGTCCTAAAAATGCTCAGAACAGTTTAAAATTGGTCGGAAAGTGTTTATATTGGTCCTGCGACCACTCAAACCAAGTTTGGGAATCACTGCATGTCTAGAACCGATGTTACCTACCTTACTTGGGATTATTATGACCGGGATAAAGTGGCGGGTTTAGGGTAATTTCGCCATATTTTTCCCGAACCACATTTTCACCGGTCGTTAATAAACCCGCCGACTCAGCTTTTAGGGTTCCCAAAGGGTATGGGTGCTCATATTTTAATGGTTGTCTTATATTCACTAAAGAAGACTATTGGGACACTTGTTGTAGGTTTTTCGACTTCATTTGGCTAAAATTGCAAAAAATTCACCTTTTTGCCCAATTCTTGTCATATATCCTTATTGTCAAAGTTGATTTAAATAGGCCAATTTTTAATTTCTTAGGTATTGACTATCTCTACATAATGAAATAGGACTCAAAGTAAAAGTAACAGTTAAATTAAAACTCGAATTAATTAAAACGGTCAATAACATGAATCAGTTTCATCAGTCATTTATTCATAATTCTAAACAATGTGAACGATGCATTCTTTCGAAGATTTTCTACAAATTGAGTCATAATGGTTATTTGATACACGTAAACATGTAATGCTAATTCAAAACAACGAATTTGCTAGAGTCTACTTTCAACAATTATTGATAATTCGACTTGTTTCACAAGTTTTAGCAATGCGAAAATTTCTGAACCTGCTTATCTCTAATAAGGAAATTTACATCTGAGACAAAATTTTTGAATCTAAAATTGAAAGGTTGGACACCGGTAAAATGGCGACCGGGAAAATGTGGTGGGTTTTGAGCAATTTCGCCATATTTTTCCCGAACCATATTTTAACCGGTCGTTAATAAACCCGTCGTAATAATCCCGAGTAAGGTATGTTCCAAAATGTTCCAATTTTGGGACAATAATCCTCCTGAGAATCCAGATTTTTGGAACATGGGCACATCGAAGTATTGGCTGTATTTAAGTGCTGGGAAGCATTTATATCAAAATATTGGAGGATTATTAAAACAAAAATATTTGCCCAATAAAATAATTTCTGTTTAATTGTACATAATTCTGAATGCAACTTTAAGACCCTGTTGGACGAAAATATTGACTCTTTGCCACCATTTTTTAACCATTCTGAGTGCTTTGAAGAAAATTTTCATGTTCGTTGTTCATTCCATAAACTTGGGTAATATTATTCGACTTTTGATGGCTCCTCTATAAGGCCTAGTATTTTTATATCCATCTTAGAACACCGAATTGAGGCTTCCCAGCACTTCGATGTCCCCATGTTCCAAAAATCTGGATGCTCAGGAGGATTATTGTGACAACATTGGTAACATCGGGTCTAGACATGATTCCCAAACTTTCCGACCAATTTTAAACCGTTCTGAGCATTTTTAGGACAATATTCATTTTTTTTTTCATTTTCGTTCATTCCATGAACTTAACCTGGGTAATGTTATTTGAGTTTTGATGGCTCATAGGCTTAGTTTTTACCTATATCCATCTTAGAAAACCGAATTGAGGCTTCCCAGCACTTAAATACAGCCAATACTTCGATGTGCCCATGTTCCAAAAATCTGGATTCTCAGGAGGATTATTGTCCCAAAATTGGAACATTTTGGAACATAGGTAACATCGGTTCTAGACATGCAGTGATTCCCAAACTTGGTTTGAGTGGTCCCAGGACCAATATAAACACTTTCCGACCAATTTTAAACCGTTCTGAGCATTTTTAGGACAATATTCATTTTTGTTCATTTTCGTTCATTCCATGAACCTGGGTAATGTTATTTGAGTTTTGATGGCTCTTAGGCCTAGTTTTTACCTATATCCATCATTTACAATTATTTTTGGCACTATTTAGAGCTTATTAGGGCAAATAAATGCATGGGACACTTTTGGGACAATTTTGGGATATGTTCCAAAAATGTTCCAAAAATGTTCCAAAAATCTGGATTCATCAACTCATAAATAATGTGTGACCGACCCAAATTGCTGATCATCAATCTAACACAAATTATACTGGTTTTGAGCGCTTTAAGCTTTTAACATACTTACTTCTCTGGCCTTAGCTTCTTCGTAGGCTTTCTGTCTAGCTTCTTTTGCAGAACGTCTGTAAAAACAATGTAAGTTCTAATAAACAGAAGAAAGGAAATTCGAAAAATACAGTCTTAAAATTTAAAACATAAACAACTGTACATTGTTAAGAGTTGACTTAGTTGAAACTCAAGCAAGTACAAAAAAGCAGGAATTAAGTTTACTGACGCTCTGTCGAGTTTAGCTTTATATTCCCTCTCTCTTCGCGAAGTCTCTTTCTTTAGACGAGCTGCTCGCAGTTTTTCAGCCTGTAAAATATAAAAATTATAATTAACTGCGTCGTGTTATCATAAACCAACACAGCTTTGACGAGTAAAAGTAATTTGGCACAGTTATTACTATTTGAATTAACCGTGCCCACGGTTAAGTATTGACAAGGAAGTAAATTCTATGCTAACTCGCAAATTGACTGTCTTATTTAATTTGTTAATCAGTGTTTAGTGTTGATTATTAACAATTCTGTTAGCTTGAAAACTTGAGATATGAGCTCGGGTATAAGAGACCTTGATTTTGAGCTGTTAAGTTTTATCAGTTATTACCAAAACTTAAATCAGAAACACGGTTTTACTGGCCAATGTCTATCAAATCAGATAGTAGCTCGGTCAGTTCATAATGAACATAAAAAGGTCCCTTTTGAAGAAGATGAAAGTGCAGAGGTCAGTAAAGCAACGCAACTAAATAGTGATGAATTAAGCGAGGGATCTGAGAGAACTGATGAAAACTCTGAACTTAACGAGAACCAGACATTTTATATTGGAGAATCCGATTGTACAGAGAATCAGAGCGAGGAAGAAGAGGAAAAACAAGAGAAACAAGATCAAGGAATTGAAGAAAGAGACCCTAAAATTGACGTGGAGACACCTGATTTAGATACGATATTACAAAGCGAAAGTAAAAAACGGCCCCTTTACTTAAAACATTCCTCAACAACCGATCTCTCAAAGTATTTCACAAAAATACCAGAGCAAAGAGAAGAACCAGATGACATGGTTTGGTCCCGATGGAAACTAGCTTTACTGGACGATACTGACGATGTCTGCGCAAACAAACCCCGTCCTAGACGTAAGAAATCAGTACTGGAGCAGAGGATAAACAGTGAGATTAACAGCGCGTTTCTGAAGAGCCACAACTCACTGAGCATGCCTAATATCAGTTCTATTGAGAGGGAACCCGAGGACACAGATCTGTCTTTTAATGGAGACCCCTCCTCAACCGATAACATTGCTGACAGTACCAACTCTCACTGGATCCACTTTTCTAATAAACTCAAATCCTCCGTCTCCTCCTCAATGAGCTTGTTTGGGTCATTGTGGAGTTTAGAAGAGACTGATAGTCAGGAGTTTCATCAAGGAGAAGAAGAAGAAGAAGAAGAAGGAGAAGGAGAAAAAGAAGAGGTTGGGTTTAGAAAGAGAATAGCTTCAGCTCCGTACAATAGTGAGAGATCACTGATAAATTTAACTAGACGTGGTTCAGGACACACAAGATCACATTCAGTGTGTAACAATGAGAGTTATGTGAACTATGATAGGAATGTAACCATGGTAACGGAAAGTGTGGTTGGTGGGTCAGCGGGAACTAGGAAGAGGTTTGAGTCTGCTCCGACAGGGAAGCAGATGTCCAGGAAGAAGTCTTGGTATGATTTAATGTTGCAGGAATAGAATTGTTGGTTTGTAGGTGGTTTTTATTTAAGTTGTTGGGTATTATATTAGACATTTGTTACTGACCATAAATTTGTTATTTATCATATTTGTTATTAATCAAGTGTTTAAATTCTTAAACACAACTTACGTTTGGTTTGACAACATTCTTCAGAAGGTCCTGTGTATCGTCATCGTAATCACACTTCTGACCGGCTGCTAGAGCTAAAGCTGACTCTTCCCACCTTCCTAACAGCCTTAATGTGGGAAATGATGTAGTGGAAAATTATACATTATACGCATATTTCTTATAATAAACATTTCAATCCATAAAACTTTGTACAACCTTCAATAAGTTAGCTATGAAGAATTTCAACAGAATTTCAAAATCTAGATAGGAAGAGTGATTTAAAAAAATCATACCTGTAAGCTTTTCCTTTACATTTGTGAGCTAAAGCATTATCAGGGTTTAATGTTAGTGCTTTCTCAGCGTCTCTTATCACGTTATTAGGCTTCTTCTGTCTTAACTGGGATTTTAGTTTATGTTATATATTAATTACTACCTTCATTCTAGGAGATATCATCACAGCAGTATCTGAACATATTAAAGTGATACGGATACTTTGAATATGTGATGGAATCATCTACTACCGTTCTTATATTACACTCAAATTGAACCTGAAACAAGATGGAAAAGGTGAAAACAGATATCTGAATTTTCCAGCAAATGATGTTAGAGATCAAATTTATATTCTGAACATAATAGCGTAACGTACATTATATAGTGTTACGTACATTATATAGTGTATGTAATGTACATTATATACTGTAACGTACATTATATAATAGTGTAACGTACCAGTGTCTGTGCCCGTTTAGCAAAGAGAACAGCAGAATGAGGGTTACATTCCACGGCTTCTCCGAATAGTTTAATAGCTTCGTCCAGTTTACCGTCCGACATGGCTGACATGGCTTGACGTCTGAAATTGGATTAATCCGATCAATATTACATATGGAGAATAATAATAATAACTAGAAATTTATACATCGCTTTATAGCCAAAGCTTTGCAAAGAGAACTCAAAATCTAAAGATTCAACGGCCAGGTAGCGCAGTTGGTTAGAACGACTGTCTTACAATCGTTAGGTTGCGAGTTCGAAACCCACTGACTGCCTGGTCGTGGGGTGAGCGTCGTCGACGTTCAGCTAAGGATCATGAGTGGTCTATGCAGCCCCCCGGTCTACTCAGCCGAATACTCGAGAAATCGGGTGTGAGGGTTAAATGAGGAGCTGCACATTGCAGCAAAGTCTCGGACGAAGAAAGTATGGTAGACACTACCTTAACCGTCACTGGCCAAAAAGATCCTTCGGCTTCCTGTAATTGGCTGGTTGCACTTGTGTAACATTGTGGCTGTTGGAATACACCGAAGTAAAATAAGTGTCTAGATAAAAAAGTTCAAGCCATCTAAAGCGACTCATGAACAATGAACATGTACATAAGAACTTAGCATTTTATGAAGTATGGGTTTTTATGAAGAAGTTATTCTATGAAACTTATATGAATACTTTTTCTATAATGAGAATAGTTGCTAAACAAGAGATCCCCGATGATCGAACTCATGTAACTGCCGTTACAGTGTCACATGTTACCTTTAGTTCATGAACCTAGCTTAAGTCTAGTGCGAGACTACAGCTCTTTCAAATAAGTTATCGCTTAATAATCACGATTTAAGATTCCTTGAACAACTAGCGAATAATACCTGATGTCGTTGGCCTTGTCCATGTCTGCCTCAGTAACTTCCTTTTCAGAATCTCCCAATGGAAAGTCTAATAGATCCTCTCCTTCAATCACTCCGGAGTTATCTAACTCTACTTCTTCTGGTTAATAAGAAGTCTTTTAATTGATATTTAATTTATATGCTGAGATGCTGATAATTCAATTGCCCACCAATTTGTTTCTAAATCGTTAATATTATATTTCATATTATGTTGATTATGTATTACATAAGTAAGGAAGTAAAGAGGTGGTAAAGCATGTGCTCCTTTATAAACTAAACTGTTGAATCTAACCTTCCTCGCTACTCTCATGTTCCATAGGTTCAGGGGTAGGTTCAGGGGTAGGTTCAGGGGTAGGAGCTTTAGTGGGCTCTGGTTTTGGAGCCTGCTGGGGTATATCCTCAGGGATATCTTCCGGCTCCGGCATTGCTTGTTTTTCCGGGATCTGAGTGATGTAAATAGGTTTAAACAGTTCATTTTAGATCTAATTTAATTAAGAAACTATATCTCTATAGTTCTTGGACCCACATTTTTCTCTTACAAAATACAAAAAAATAACTCGTAGAGATGCAATCTACTACAGCAATAAGAATAAGAACTATACTTCAATACTAATGACGGTAATTAAAAGAAAGCGAAACTCACATTAGCACCCATAGTAATGAGGTATTCTTTAAAGAATGACAGTCTCGGTTCATGCAGGATTTCTGGGTTCATCTGACATGCTTGCACGAACACTTTCAGCTGAGCAAGTGCCTTCCCGTCAATATTCATGACTTTCCTGGCTAATTATGATGGAGTTAGGGAACTAATAATTGTTTAATTGTGCCTTCCACTCATTTTGTATGAATGCTGCTGATATTTGGAGTTTTCATTTTTTGTAGAAAAAGAAACTACCGATACCAGTACCAGAGGCAACTGGATAAGTCGCATTCAAGAAACTGTTTCATGACTCTTTATCTTAAAACATTAAATTAACAAAGATGAATACAGTAGATATTCCCTGAAAATATCGGATGAGATTAACTGATTGGCATGTGAGTATTTCAAACAAGTAAAATTGTTTATGCACTCCGATTAAAATTCAGATAAAAATATCGTATGATATCTTAATCTGCGAAACTGATAATATACCAAAAATTTGACAAAAATTCAGATAGTGAAATTCTCTCACAAATACGAGTCTAGCTTAAGCAGTGATTTAAGGGCTCGACGTTGCCAGGACCAGTATTTAGGTTCAGTACCAATTCATATCACTCTTCAATGAAGGAAAGATTAACAGTGCAGTAACACCTTATATTGCCCTTCAACAAATGAAGTTTTGCTGCCCTTTACGTTGGTCAACAGGGCCATATATCGTTATGTTACATTGAATGAATATTGAATGTTCAAAAATCTGTTGTTCAAATTTAGTCAATGCATACAAATAAAATATAATTTCAACAACTCACAACAATTAAAAACAGTGTTTCAACTGACTCCTTCCTTGTTTATGGATATTAAGAAATAATAGTTAATCATATAATATTCTCAGTATCCAGGCCTAGTGGGTGGCGATACAAGGATAACTCCATCTCCCCTTACAAAAAGCATCTGTATAGAGCGCTTTGTTGACTTGAACAATTCTTCATATGTGTCCTCGTCTATTTCAACTGTAGTGATCGTCTCTTCTACATCACCCAATACCTGGTGGGTAACAATATGTTATGTTTAACAACCAACATGATGTTTTGATGTAGTACAGACAAATCCGTCTGAAAAAATCGATCTGCTGACACACGAAGCTTTCAGAGGATTTTTGACGTTTTTGAGTCCTAATAGATGCCCTCTATGGCTGACCAACTTTTCCAAACTTTTCCACTTGTCTTAAGGCCACTTTTTGCCACTTTACCACTTTTTACCACCTTTCTTGTTTGTCGAATATCTTTAGTTGTGAGCATCGTAAATGGTTGCGGATTAATCGAGTGTGTTTATATTACCATGAAGAAAAACTTTTGTTCTAACAATTTTTACGTCAGATAATCAGTTAATTGGATAATTATCAATTAGCTAATTAGCAAAATTCTAAAAAATTTTTATTGGCTCAAAATGATCGAAATAGCTTAAAACACGGAGAAAAGTAGTTTTTAGAAAAACTTTGAAAATTTTTCACTTACATTTTTTTTCGAGACTTGGAAAAATTTCGAAAATTCAAAATATTTTTTTCCGCCAAAAGTGATCAAATTGCATGAAACGCGGAGAAAAATGCTTTTCAAAAAAACTTAGTGAATTTTTCGTTTCAAGAATACTTAAATCACCAATATTTGTAGTTGGAGTTCAGTAAATCGCGGCAGATTTCAGTAATCAAGAATTACTAAGTGGAAAGGTCTGAAACTGAAAATCGTTAACTATACGATATAAGAGTTTCATAACTAATTACAATACAGCCTTATCAATTTTCACAGAAACTGCACCAATGGCACAGTCAAGATCGAAAGATGAAACGATAGCCTGCTGTACTATCAATTTATTGATTTCAATGATGAATCAGTGGAGTTAAGATAATCACATTTGTAATAAATAAATCCTCTTTGTACCGTCAATTGTGCTAATCTAAACCGGCCTACCTAAGTACCTGGATTACCAGACCTCTTCTTTTCCTCAACAATCAAACCAAGTTGTTCATATCGCATTTGGTGGGCGATGAAGTACATATCGAGCTGTATAGTATTCAATCACAATACAACACAATGCAATACGTGTATATTATATTATGGCCCTTAATGAGGTATATGAAACGTTCTATACCATACACTTCATGTTTCTCCCGTGAGAGGCCCGGTATGGAGAGGTTTTACAGTTTATCACGAAACGTCTACTTGGCCTCATGACTCTTTGACAGCTCAAAGAGGGCAAGAAAAGACCAGAAAGCTTAAAATGTCAGCTCGGTCTTTTCAATGCTCTTCGATCTGTCCCACATTTATTCCCGAGCTGATCATCATGGGCCCTGAATATCGTGCGGAAAGAACTTGTATTTTTACTTCACAACGTCCGGATTTCAGATCAACATCCTCAATGACATTAACAATCCTTCCTGATCAGGATCTGTCTCTATTAGCAATTTCCAAAATATCCTGACTCTCGTGGAACATTTCACTGAATGAATTATTACCGGTTCTTAAGTTCTTTACCAGTACCACCCCTTGCCCGACGCTCGTATCTAAATCTTATCCTTGCCCGTATGTTACCCTTGCTGATTTTACTTTTAGCCGACCCTGACATATGGGGGTGATTTTATCCCCCATAGCAAATGAAGCGGTATGCAGTACAATACAAAACAAGTAACAGTAGATGTTGGAAGGTGTATTTGCACTTGCTTCCTGGACCTGGCTGTTCCTTAGTTTCCCTGGTCTGTTTTTGCCTTCTTCGAACTGTAAATGAGCCATGAGGCCAAGTATACGTTTTCGTGATAAACTGTAAAACGTCTCTATACCGGGTTTCTCACAGTATTAAGCGTTATATAAACCATATACACGTATTGTGTCGTATTGTGATTGAATACAGCTCGATATGTACTTACATCGCCCACCAAATGCGATATGAACAACTTGGTTTGATTGTTGAGGAAAAGAATAGGTCTGGTAATCCAGGTAGGCCGGTTTAGATTAGCACAATTGACGGTACAAAGAGGTTTTATTTATTACAAATGTGATTATCTTAACCCCACTGATTCATCATTGAAATCAATAAAATGATAGTACAGCAGGCTATCGTTTCGTCTTTCGATCTTGACTGTGCCAGGCCATTGGTGCAGTTTCTGTGAAAATCGATAAGGCTGTATTGTAATTAGTTATGAAACTCTTACATATCGTATGGTTAACGTTTTTAGTTTCAGACCTTTCCACTTAGTAATTCCTGATTACTAATACTAAAATCTGCCGCGATTTACTGAACTCCAACTACAAATATTGGTGATTTAAGTATTCTTGAAACGAAAAATTCACTAATTCTTTTTGAAAAGCATTTTTCTCTGCGTTTCATGCAATTTGATCACTTTTGGCGGGAAAAAATATTTTGAATTTTCGAAATTTTTCCAAGTCTCGAAAAAAAATGTAAGTGAAAAATTTTCAAAGTTTTTCTAAAAACTACTTTTCTCCGTGTTTTAAGCTATTTCAATCATTTTGAGCCAATAAAAAATTTTTAGAATTTTGCTAATTAGCTAATTGATAATTATCCAATTAACTGATTATCTGACGTAAAAATTATTAGAACAAAAGTTTTTCTTCATGGTAATATAAACACACTCGATTAATCTGCAACCATTTACGATGCTCACAACTAAAGATATTCGACAAACAAGAAAGGTGGTAAAAAGTGGTAAAGTGGCAAAAAGTGGCCTTAAGACAAGTGGAAAAGTTTGGAAAAGTTGGTCAGCCATAGAGGGCATCTATTAGGACTCAAAAACGTCAAAAATCCTCTGAAAGCTTCGTGTGTCAGCAGATCGATTTTTTCAGACGGATTTGTCTGTACTAATGATGAAGTTTTAACTTGAAATGAAGCGATATTTGACCATTATCCTCCTACAATAAGTCACAAATAATCTATAAATAATTCATCATAAATTTTTGATGAAAATCTGTTGTCTTGTTGCAACAATAATGTATATTTTAACTCTGATGAGTGGGTTTTAAATACAATCAATTTAATGTTACTTTTGCAGAGTCACAGGTAGTACAGCGATCTTGTAATTTTAACAAACCATATTAAGATGCTGATCATAGGCAAATAGTTTCCCCCTCAACTCTCGACCATTTAACATTTTCACATAAACTCTTTCATCCAGAGACATCCGAATCAAATCAAAAGGCTCTTCAATGACATTACTTGGCTCTTGCGTATCAGCCATGTTGGCTCCTATATAGAATCAAGCTGTTACTGGAAAATAAAAATGGTGAGAATTAAATGATTATCTATCAAATGTTGTCTATGAAAATGTGCCCAAATCCAAATGTAAGATATCAAAATATTGTGTGAATATTATTAAATTGCAGGTAAAATTAATTTAATGAGATACAGAGCATGAGCAATGGCAAGTCAAGATTTTACTTTTCATAACATCATCCTTGGATGTAGCATGTATGTGCAATGAAGGGCACCCTAACCTTTGCTACCAGAATTATTTGAAATCACTGTAATTTGACCAATGTCCCAAACCAAATCAGTCAATTTCTGCCAGGGATATTCAGACTATACATGCATGTGTTGTGCCAATAACAATGTAATCAGTCGAACGATGCACATGACGGAATGAGGTTAAAAGGGATGTTCAACCCATCATGAGCTCCTTTCCCTTGACACCTCGAACAACATGAATATAATATAATAATAATAATAATAACAAAGTATTTATATCCCGCTCATATTAGCAACTAGTAACCAAGAATGGTACTAGCTACTAATGTCAGAGCGGCTGTCCAAACAAAGATAAAACTTTAATAATTTAGAATTCTCCAACAAAAAATTCTCAATTTCCTTTAAACTGCTTATTCGTAACACTAACGTCTAAAAACTATATTATACGACAGACATGGTGGTACAATCAGACATCAGATGGAATAAACTATAAGAGAAAAATAATAATCTCGACACATAATGGTTAACTTTATTTATTCAAAAGAATTTAATTAATTGAACTTCATTATACACTCTTCTTTATTTGTAGATTAAAACAACAAACACAAACTGAGGCCTGCATCCCCGTCAATACCACACAATCATTTAATGAGTTGCTATACTCCGAATTAGAGA